TAAACTTGATTCACTGCTGCGTTCAAAAATGATGTAACGCTTTTATCATTCTCATGATTACAGGTGTAGTAATTGAGCCAAGATAGTTTAATTGGAGTTTATTTTGTGAGTTCTGAAGAAATATGACCTATTTCAGCATAACCATAACTACACTACATTAAAGAGTATCTTGTTTTCCCTTAAGGAAATGTTATGCCTTTAAGTATACAATCATAGCTCCAAGCAACAGTGTGTTTGTCTCCCTTACATTCCCCACCAGTACATGTGGGTGCAGCGCTTCACCGGCTTCAGCTCAAAGCAAGGAACCTTCAGGATGTTGAAGAAGCTGTAGCCCACCATACTCGAAATGCTGTCATTCATGCCCAGAAGGCACTGTCGAAACCTGACACACAGAGAGCAGGAGAAGCTTAAGGAGTTATGCAGTCATTCAAATACCTCAAAATTCTTCTCTCCTTAGGCTACTTATTTTATTGTTGTTGTTTTTTTAAGATCTTACTTGTTTGAGTTGAATAACCAACTGTGAAAAATTTTAACTTGGAAAGTAACAATTTATGTAATTTATTAGAGGGGATGTCAGATCAAAATATGCACCTCCATCAATATATATGACATTTATGGGGGGAAAGAAATGCTCAGCAAATGATAAAACGAATAAAAATAATTTACTCGTAAAGAAAAACTATGCCTGAAAGACTCATTTAAATGAATGAAGTAAAACTTACCAATAACAGTCCAGGATATTTTTTAAATTTAAAAGCTCTTTTAAATTTTTCACCAAAAAAACAAATAATGTGGCACATTCCAGCCATGTAATATGAGAAAGTAAAGCTTTCAAAAATTTGGCTCCAAGCAAATATTTCCTTAAACCTCCAGAGCATTATGAGGGGAAGTGATTTACCACTTGCAGGAGTTTACCTGGAAGGGACACATCTGTGCAATCCAGACTCAATTTCTATGTTTCTCTGGGTCATTGTGAGACTCACCTTAGGTCACACTCACAGTGTGAGACAGTGAAGAAGTTTGGGTTGAAGACTCCATAATTTACTGTGAAAGCTGGGATGATGTCCGAGCAGTGGTCATGTTCACGGCAACACTTATCCGCTCTCTCAAACATACCTGGGCACAAGAAAAGGAGATTCAAAGCTGTTTGCATGACAAGAATTCAAGGTTTAGGATCGAAGAGTTGATTTGATTTTAAATAAAAGCTATTTTGAGAAGGGAGATAAGGGTCTCAGGATAATTCTAAGATATAACATATTATATTTGTCTTTTAAAATATGAACAACTCTATTTTTTCCAATAAATATGCTGTTTATATGGCTAAAAAGCTAATTGTGTGTGTGATTTAATGTCACTAATAAAAATTTCACTGCATTCTGTTTGAATTGATTTGATCTATCATTTGAAATCTGGCCAAATTTATTAGTCCTCCACAACACAGGTTAGCAGCAATAATTTTATCAGATTCTTTATAAATAAAATTGATTCTATTAAAAATTAGATCATTAGCACCCCTCTAAATATAATCGGTTTACCTCCGGATGGTGAGGCAGCATCTCACCTAACTATAGTATCTTCGTCTAAGCATTCAACTTGTGTTAGATCCCATTCCAAACAAGTTATTTAAGGAACTATTTCCCCTGATTTCCACCTCCATCTTAGTTACAATTAACCTATCATTATTACAGGGATATGTACCTCGGGCTTTTAAGGTGCAATTAAAACTTTACTTAAGAAACCATCTCCTGACCCAGTTGACTTGGTCAATTATAGACCTATATCCAATCTTAATTTCTTATCTAAAATTATTGAGAAAGTAGTTGCCAAACAAGTGTGAGACCTCTGTGACTATACCATAATTAACTTTTTGAAGAGTTTCAGTCTGGTTTTGGAGCTCATCATAGCACTGAACCAGCTCTGATGAAAGTCACTAATGATATTCTCATGGCCTCAGATATAGACCCCTTTTGTCTTTCTTGGAGCAATTGGCCTTATCTGAAGGCCCAATTTGTGGAATATTAACTGTCCTGATTACTATTCATCTTCTCTGATGTTACAATAGGCCTCATGGATACTACTTTGTGCTCTCTGTGTTTAACATGTCGGTTTATCAAGGGATGTGCCTGCCTGGGGTAGATTTGCAGTTGTTCCCAATTTTTTTCAGTTTTTGGATGCAAGATTTTCTGTGAAAACTATAAGCTCTGGATATTGTTTTTTTTTTTTTTTATTAAACCTAACCCGGCTTCAAACATTTATATTTTCATCTGCTGTGTTATTTTGTTTTATTGGTGCATTGTGTTCAACAAATCATGAGCTTTGACAGACCTCTGACTCCGTTACAGCAGAGATAGATTTATGTTGAGATTGAATTACACTAAGTTGGATTCTAGTTACAGTTATTCAATATCAAGAAGTGTTTGGTTGATCCCTGTTTCACCAAAGGGATGCATGCTTTTTCTTATCTTTGGAAAGGTTCAAGAAAAACATATTGTTCAACTTTTGGGTCTGACACCTAAAATCCTGATTAAAGGGTTATAATATAACCAAATATGGAAAACGTCAGGAACTGTAAAGACGTTTTTTGTTAAAAAAAAAAAAGAAAAAAGGAAATACTTGCTGGTTTGTTCTTTAGATTTACTGCAGTGTCTTGTGTAAACGTGCAAAAGTAGTTAAACTATTTAGCAGTCATGCGGAATAAGTGAGGAATGTCAATAAAATCTCTGAGTTTTTCCATTCATTCAGAGCACATGTGGCTCAAGGCTATCATAAAAACTATATTCAATAATAATGTGAGAAAACATTGCAAGAATAAAAAAAAGACAATAATAAACAAATAAATAAAAAACAATAAGTGAGGCAAAGTCAGAATGTATTTAAGTGAATAAAACAACCTTACCCAATTGTTCATACTCGGCCGCTTTGCTTCCAGTTCCACACCACAGCGTGCCTGGGAATATCCAGGAGCGTTTCCTCCGGGTTTTCCTCCCTGTCTCCTCATTCCTGGAAGACACTAGAGCGCACGGAGCATCAGGGGACAGCAGCAGACTGATGTTAAACCTGGGGACAATTTCCCGATTCCAGGTCTGTGTTCTGTTGCAATAGGCGTGATATCCTTCGGTAACATCTGGATTTGGATTGATTTCGCACTCTGCAAGCCGCAGGTCATCAGACCACTTGGTGAGATACAAAGAGCGCTCACTGGTGGGGTCCTGGTGCAGAAAGGTGAGCAGTATGTGTCCGTCTGCAGGACTCCACCTGAGGCAGGACACACCTGGTCCAGGTGTGTTTTGTGCTTTAGATAAAGCGAGCCATGACAAGACAAAAAAAGCTGTAAGGAACCATCCGTTTTCCATTTCAATCTATAGGCAAACAAGTCCTAGTTTATAATTAATGTCTGCATGGGTATGTTCTATTGCAAGGATTGAGATACCTGGTTTGGGGATTGCTTTTTTTGCAGAGCACTCCTAAATTTCAGTCTCTCTGACTTAGACAACGTAGAAATGCAAAGTGTTCTTATTGGTCCGTGGATTTGGAGAAATTTGACACTTTACGCACAAGGCTGTGAAATCTTGTGTAAGCCTTTAATGATTCCTCTAGTTGGGGCTATACTTGTGAGGTCCTAAAAATGGGATCACAGCATAACCTGACCGGTTGTTTATGCCGAAATTAGGAACAAAAATATTTTGTAGCTCTTGTGGAAGATGAAAATCAAATAATTGAATTAATGATTTATGTAGCTGATATATAGAATGAGCTCTAAATCATCTACATTGAAATTCTAAACTAGTTTTAATAATAACTAGTTTTGCATGTCTTAAGGGTGTTTTTTATTATTTATTTGTCCTGCACCGACTTATTTATTAGATTAAATATGGTCTTTATCCATAATTCCACAGGTATTAGGAGATTAATTAGTAATTTATCATCACGTTATGTTATTATTGTCATTAACTCATGCCATCTCTACCTTTTCCAGCATCCCAGTCTCATTAAACTTCAGAATCTGGGTCTACATTAGCTCCATAATGTATTTGGCTTCAGGTGTAGGGGATCTATTTTTAAATGGCTGAATGCAGCAGTGGTTCAGGACCAGATTTATAAAGGGTGTGCCTGTGTTATCACTGGGAAACAGAAAAGCATGAAACAAAAGCAGAGCAATAGTTTATCATTTAAAATATATTAGTATAACCACTTCTGGCTCTGCCCTGAAGAAACATTTCCATTTCATCTAGTTTAATTACAATTGTATTTTGTTATAATTGTATTTTTTATTTTAAAATATTAATGTTACTTAACCCTACCTTACAAATCGTTTACAATGGGAAAATAAACTAGATAAGGAGAGAGTAAAGAGGGTATAGTTTTAACTAAACATTAGATAGAAAAAATGTGTTAGGTTAGATGAGAGCCATAAATTAAGACATACTAAGGTGCTGACCAAAGATCCAGTAAAAAAGGTTTGTTACCCTAATTTTTAAAATGAAGAAATGAAACAGGAATAAAAATTAAGCTTTTGAACACAAATATGGCTTATTAAGTAGTCTGAGTTATTTCTTTAAACATATTCTCTTTGTGTTTAATCAAACTGGGGCTGTCTAAATCCTCATTGGAGCCAGAAGTGGATTAACAAATTACCCAAACCTCCCTGAGTTCGTCCGGTAATGTTTAAATCTCAAATACAGCAGAAAAAAGGAAAGGGCGATTAATAGAAGAATACAAGGAAGAAAGCTAAGACACAATGGATGAATGAAGGATACAAAGAAGGCATGAGATAAAATCTGAAAATACAAACTTTTCCTTGCTTTTATATTCTTTATGTTCTAAAACTGACACATTTTTCTCTTCTTCTAGGATGAACATGAAATTTTATTGCCTTCACTTAATGCTCAGTCTTATCTAACATATTTATTACGTATTGTCCAACATTTTAAAGTCATTTGTTTTGATTTCTTCCAAAAAGCTGAAATGATAAAATCTTACAGGAAAACTCCAAAGACACGTCAATTTGCATTAAATTTTATTGGTCTGTGTAAACTTTCTGCAAAACCTTTACATGCAAAGTCATTAGCAAACATACAGAATTCGACTTCATGCACTATCTATGTACAAGTACAGAGATTAAGGAACATTCCACTGAACTGGCAGAATCAAGTAGAAGGCGGCTATAACTTGAGCTCAGGCAGAAGCCAGTTGTTTTGTTTTTACAAGCAATCGATCATATCTTCATGATCAGCTGTTGAAGTAGCACAGTGTAGTACAAGGTCACTGTCACATCTGGGCATTGATTTACTCAGAAAACAACACACTGGTAAGCTTTATGTGTGCATTTACAGAATCTCTCAGTTTAACATGAAGATTTCAATCTGCTACTCATAGACCTCCTATGTATATATGCTCAGTGACTGCTTTTTTTTTTAAATCCCATGTATACTAGCAAACCAGCTTATCTGGATTTGTCGATATTGTTATAGTCATGCAGAGTATGGCCTCTGTGTCAAAAGGAATGTTATGGTGAAGAGTGTAAACATTAATGAAGATACAATAGCATTTATTTCTAACAAATATAAATACACACATGTATATATGTATATATATGTATATTATATATATACACATATAGTATAACATCATGCATAGGATTTTTTTTGTCTTTGTATTAACACTGGAATAACTTGCAGACAATTTTCTGTATAAATAGAGGTCATTCCACTGTTTAAGGTGTGCTTTGCTTAATTTGCTTTAATTAGTGAACAAACACTCACTGAAGCTTTTGATAATCAGGGTGGGGAGGAGGGAGGGAGAGAGAGAGAGGGGGGGGGCTGATGATCAGGCTAAAAGCGGGCTAAAGCTGCCCCAGGCACATGAGAGTCACAAGCACAGTGCATGCAGGTAAAAGCTGCACATACTTTCCACATGACTTGCTCCATCTTCTCTCTCCTGTAAACGACTAGGACACTTTACCGTCTGTGTTCAGTGTAAACATTACAGTAAAAAACCCTCTGAGGCGTCAGAGTGAACTGCGAGCTTTGAACGAGCAGAGGTAGCAGGACGCGATTCTGTTTGTTTTCTTTTTTTTATCCCCCCGTAAAGAAATTAAATGAATCAATATCTTGGTTCCAGTTTCTCTTTACACATAGATATTACGCCCTACAAACATAAAACAGCACACACATCTTGAATAACACAGCAGAAAAACAGTTGTCAAACTAAACAGGTGTGCCATATTTATTTCTTTTTTAAACCACAAATTAACAGCAACTGCTTACGGTTTATTCTAGCTCATAGTTCACTCACATATGAATCATCTAAATCAGATGTCTATCCTAACCTGAGCAATGTATCATATGTAAACATTTCTTTGTGTAAATATACAGTGTGTTCGTACAGCTGATTTATTTTAAAGTGCAGCTGGGGCCTGGCATGCTTATAGAGCTCTATATGATTAAAACAGCAACTGTGTAAGGAGTTTAGGTTGTGGGTTGAGTTATGGCCTTTGTGAACGCTGATGATGGTTCTAATGCCATAACATATTGCTTTTCCTGATCTTTTCTAGTGCGATTCAGACTTAATTTCCCTCAGCGAATAAATGTGTCTCTGCAAAGGATTTCTGACGGATCTGAAGGCCTTTTTGATGAAAGTTTTTTAAACTTGCTTTACTTGTTTTTCATTTTTTACATAATGGGATTTGTGCCATAGGCTAATTGGGTATCAGGAGTGAAAGCGCTACAAAGAAAAATTAGGGAATTACTGCTGAATACAGAGAAGGAAGAAACAGTGCCTGCACGTTCAGGTATGATCCAATTATTAATAAAAAAAAAAAACCAGAACTTCATTTTTAAAAGTGCAGCAAGACATGAATGCAATCTGATTCGTTGTGCGCTACTGGTGCATGGTTAATCACTAGCGACATGATTCTCAATCACTAAGGTGTGCCAGTGCTCAATCTTCTTGTCCTTGTTCTTCAAGCACTCATACCAGTGCTTCAGCCTTTCCCCTTTGGCGGTAATGCCCAGCTGGCAGCCACCTGTCAGATAGGAGGGGGACGTGAGACGCAGGTGAGAGATTCCAGCTTTCATTGCATCACAGAATCCTAAATAGCACATCCCAAAAGTATTCATACCCCCCTTCGCTTTCTATTACTTTTTATGCACATCACAACCACAAATTTCACTCTTAGTTACTTACAATATATGACTGTGTATACATTTTAAAAATAAAAAGTAATTCAGATCCATTTCAAGATTAATCTTCCTGACAAAAATTAAATGCAATGAATTCCCTAGACCAGTTCCTCAAACACTAAACAGATTCCAACTTCATTTTATTTAATCTGAATTTGAGTGTTCTGTGGAGGCTTCAGTTTACAGAAGACAGTTGTGTGGAAATCTAAAGCAGAGTTAGAATATACCACAAAATTCCAATCTGGGAATTTTTCATTGAAAATGGAAGAGGCATGGCATAACCACAAAGCCATGTGAAACTCAGTTTAAAGGCTACTACAATCCATGTAGTAGATTTAAAAAAGCATGTAGGAGAAGCTGCTGAGGACATTAGGTCAAACCATTATAGAAATATAGAATTAGGTGGTCACAGCATCTGATGTAGTGATACTTTTCTTCAGCAGAGACCTGGTTAAAGTTGAGTTGATGTATGGAATATATTTAAAAACAAAACCTTGTTGGATAGCAATAAATAGATTTGGGATGATTTTTACCCTCCAGCAGCAAAGCATCCCCAAAATTAGAACTAAGGCCTCCATGCGACGGTTTAGATACATTGAAGCTAAAATGTTAAAGGGACATGCATACTTTTGCAAGGTGCTAAGGTAGTGCAGATATTCACCTATGTAATCGTTGGACTTCCCGATGTCATAATCCCACACAGAGATGTCTAAGGTCTTCTTGGCCAGCTCACTGTGTTTGATGTCGAAGCTAAACTCCTGAAACGCGATCCAGAGATTGAAGCAGTTATTAAGGCTTTACAAACTGGTATAAATGAAATCACTTGATGAGAACAATCCTCTCTGATGCTTCAGTTTCTTTCTAACCTCGTTAAACTCTGGGTTTAAAGTCCTCTTCTTGATCTGTGTTTTGCACTTGCCCTTTTTCCCCATGTCAGGTTTCAGGCATCTGCAAATTAAACACAGGCACAATGTAATTTACGCCTTTACTAGTGTCAGCTAATTACAGTGCAAAATGATATTTTCCTCCACCAGTTCAACCTACATTTTGACATATGGGTCAGAGTAGCCATTAGCATCCATGGCAGCCAAGTGAACGCAGCGAACGACCCCCACGATGAGGCGATTCTGCTGGGTGCTGTACATGAGCGACATCAGAATGCGACCGCGCTCCTCTGCTTCTGCGCCCTCTTTCCCTGACTGAGACAGAGGAAAGGGGGGGAAAGACTGATTATTAACATCTGCATGAACCTCGGAAGGAATGTGTCACGTTTAGACATGCTTCGAAATGATCACTACCTCATCTTCGTAGAGAGAGATCCCTCTAGCTGATCCGGCTGTCGCAGTTCTCTTAGTCTGTGTCGAGAAACAAGACCAAAAAAGTTCATTAGATGGTTCAAACAAGCAGAGAAAAGAAAGCCTTTGTTTCAGTTTTTTAAATTATTTAATCAGCTTCCTCACAGGCACAACCCTCTCTAGGCAAACATTGAAGGTCTTCTTCTGATTCATCTTCAGCTTCTTCAGTGCAACGCGGGTTTCGCCGATAAACTCATTGTGGCCAAATTTATCTTCATCGCAGACAGAAAGCCTGTGACAAATCAATAAAGGATGCAAATTAAAAGAGGTGGTTGCTACTGAAGTGGTTGGTTGGCATGCTTGTGTGAGGTCAGTTGTTCACCTGAGGGTTTTACGTTGCATGTCGTCGTCTGTCAGGCCATGATAGGTGAGTGTTTCATTCCACACAGGGTTACGGGTGTTTCTCAGGGTCTTTGTGCGCAGCTTGTTCGACTAATGATTGTCAAGTAGATACAAAAAAAAGAAAAACTTCTTTAAGTCATCATGTTTGGTTTTGTTACATTTAAACCACCACAAGGTGTCAGACTTGAGCTACACCAGATGGTTCCCATCAAAGCGGAAAGGATCTAAAACTCCCTTATGTCATGCATTTATTTAAAAAAATGTATGATATTAAGGTTCTATTCATTTTCCATGGAAAATAGGATTCCTGTATATTTTTATTGACAAATAATACCTTTTTTGTTAATTTTAAATATCCTGTTTTTGGTCTGATTTCAAAGAAAAAATCCATATGTTGACGACAAATTTACTACAGATATTTCTACAAAATGGATGGATGGATGGATGGATGGATGGATGGATGGATGGATGGATGGATGGATGGATGGATGGATGGATGGATGGATGGATGGATGGATGGATGCATGGATGGATGACTGGATCGATGGAAGGACGGACAGAAGGATGAATGGATGGATGAATGCATCGATGGATGGATGGATACATTCATGGATGGATGGCTGGGTGGAAGGACGGACGGACAGAAGGATGGATGGATGGATCGACGGATGCATGGATGGATAGATGGATGGATGGATTGATGGATGGATTCATAGATGGATGGGTGGACAGATGGATGGATGGACGGATGCATGGAATAGACGCATGGATGGATGGATGGATGGATGGATGGATGGATGGATGGATGGATGGATGGATGGATGGATGTTGGAAGCATGGATGGATGGATGGATGGATGGATGGATGGATGGATGGATGGATGGATGGATGGATGGATGAAATTTTTTCAGGGAATAAAAATAATTTTCAGTCCCCTTTAGGACCCTGAAAGTAACAGCCGTGAGTCGTGGCTTTTACCTTACTAGCTCCAGGCAGCAGATGAAGCTTCACGTAAGGATCTGCCAGCCCATTGGAGTCCATGGGCTTCAGTCCCTGAAGAGAAACAGCCCATTTTGCTCATCAGATCACAAGTAGTAAAGCGCAATTTAGCTAAAGTGCTTTTAGTGAGCTTTTCAGCATGAACCACTTGACAGAAATGTCCCCTTTGTGAGCATGAATGTGGCCAACGTTACCTTTCCTTTGAGGATGCTACAGTGGAGGCTGTTGCTTTCATGATCATAGAGCAGCCCGAACTCCAGAGAGCCGAGAGTTGCTGAAAGAGACCCAGATCAGTCATAGCATTAAAGTAGATTAGAGTTTAATATCGACTATTTATTTTAGGTGATAAAAAATAGAAATGTGGATGTCATAATGTGATTAAACAAGTTTAATCTAGTGAATTAAAATGAAAAATATAAACCACAGAGAAAAAGTCTGTCTCTTTACATACATATAGTTGTATAAGGAATGCGGATACTTCCCACACATATTATATTTAGAGTGGTTTTATTCCTTGACAGAGCTAAAGGATGGAGGAGGGAATCACCGTTTTATCTGGTGAAAAGCTTGGGGGTTTGGGGTAAATGCTTAAATTCAAAGCACAAACACAATATGCTTGTTCACGTGTTGTGAACTGCAAAAAAAAGGCATTTATATAAGAAAAATAGGAAAGAATGGTTAGTATTATCATTTTCATTTTAATCTTTTTATATAATATGGTTTGTTAATTCTTGTGGAAATATCTCACACCTAGGCCTACTTATATAACCATGACCTAGAGATAAATTATCAAAAGACTGTTGTGAATTTATTTGTTGAGGACTTATTATTTCATAACCTTTGAATGATAAGTTCATGAGTTAAAAATATAAGTTAACATTAATGTTGATAACACAGTTCATGTTTTAAACCGTGGTTAAATTTGGGACTGCATTTATTTGTAGTTGTATTGAAGTGGACTCTATTACCCAGGATGCTCTAGGAGCAAAAAAAAAAGGAGAGTGTGTTGTTGAGCCGAGCTGACGGGCGCACGTTGTATGTTACTTTTTTCCTTCACCGTTCTTCACTAAAGTTAAACCAAATGAAACTGACCGTCTCGCTTCGTCATTTTTGGTTGTAAGTCATAACATTTTTTGGTGCCGAAAACCCGGAAATATTAAGGAGATAATGGCTGACGAAGCTAGAAGCACCGAAGAGCAACCGAACGCTGAGGAACTACTGGTTGAAAGAGCGAAACGGAAGCGGTGGACAATACGGAGTTCCACAACGAAGGTGCTGAACCAGATTGACGGTGAAGTATCAAAGGAAGACCCGGACATTAACCGTGTGCGAGAGATGTTAGCCGTGTTGTCGGCGAAAGAGGACAGTTTGCGCGAGCTGGACCGCATAGCGGAGGAATACACGCCGCTGGACGCCATGGATGCGGAGATTGAACTCGCAGAGGAATACAGAGACCGTATCATCGAGATGAAGGCGCGGGCTCACCAAGTAATCCGTGCACAGGAGACTGTGAGTAAAGAGGACCCCCGACCTGCTCGGCTAAGTGACGTTAGCGCAAGCACCGCTGGCTCTCAGCGCAGCAACCCAACCGTAAGACTGCCGAAGCTTATGATTGAGAAATTCAACGGAGACGTAAGTTTATGGCAGGAGTTTTGGAGTCAGTATGAGACTGCTATTCACAACAATGAGGCTCTCTGCAGTAAAGAAAAGTTTACCTACCTGAAAACTTACCTCACTGGAACGGCTGCAAAGGCAGTAGCAGGGCTCACACTGACAGACAGTAACTATAATGCTGCAGTTGATATACTTCAAAGCAGATTCGGAAGGAAGGATCTTATTGTAAATGCCCACATGTCAAAGCTTTTGAATCTCACTCCTGTAAAGAAGTCATCCGATGTCAGTGCGCTGAGGCAGTTATATGATGACTGTGAAATTCAAATCAGAAGCCTAGAGTCACTGGGAGTAGTATCAGACACGTATGGAGGCATGTTATGTCCAATAATCCTCCAAATGCTGCCAGAGGACATGGCTCTTGAATACAGCCGACAGAGAGGAGAACAGGATGAGTGGAAGGTGCCAGATGTGCTAAAGTTTCTGCAGAGAGAGGTAAACAGCCGAGAGAGAGCTTTACAAATGACCAGATCATACAACCAGAGAGAGAACCAGTCTGCTCACAAAACATGCAGCAAATCATATTCAACCTGTGATGTAAAACTAAAGAAACCAAGCATGACATCTGCAGCTACACTACACGCTGCCAATGAGAAGACACAAAACTGCCTGTTCTGTGAGCGTGCTGAACACAAATCTGAAAGCTGCCCAGACCACCAGGTGGCAGCACGTAAAGAAAGGCTGAAGAAACTTGGCAGGTGTTTTATCTGTTTGGGACCCAAACACATTGCAAGGTTCTGCAGGTTAAAGGGCATGTCATGTGCCACATGTGGAGGCAGGCATCATGTGGCCATCTGTGAGAAAAATGAGGCTTCCCCGCCTGTCGTTTCTGCCAACATGGACACTGTCATTTCTTCTGTAATTCCCCAAACAAAAAGGGGCAAAACTGAAACTGAGAACACTGTGCTGCTACAAACCGCCAAGGCATGGGTGGTAGGTCCCACAAGCAGGAAGATTGTTCGCTGCTTGCTGGATGGAGGCAGCCAGGGAAGCTTTGTGCATGAAAATGTGGTGAGGGCACTGCAGCTACCTATTACCAGACAAGGGACGCTTACCCTCCACACATTTGGCTCCTCTGCTCCCACAACGGTGAAGCGTAACATAGTGAAGCTCAGCTTGGAAAATGTTTGGGATGGACAGCAAAGAATTGAAATAGAAGCAGTTGTGACCCCCAATGTGTGTACAGCATTGATGAAAGTTCCTGGTGAACACATTCAGAACGAAATGAGAAGAAAAGGGCTTCAACTCGCAGACTTCGTTGGTGGAGGGGATGAAACTGAACTTTCTGTGCTAATTGGCTCAGATTACTACTGGCAGATCGTATCAGGCCGAGTAGAAAGACTGACAGAGAGCCTGGTGGCACTTGAGAGCACCTTTGGATGGGCAGTACAGGGCCCAGTGGCCATGTCCAGCATAACAGAGACAACATGCATGCATATTCAGCTCAGCAAGGATGCACAGATGGACAAACAGCTGCATGCATTTTGGGAGCTTGAGTCCCTGGGTATCACAAGCGAGAAATCTGAGAATCCAGATGATGTGGAAGCATTGCAGCGGTTTGAAGAAACCTCCATCTTTAAGGATGGGCGTTATCAAGTGGAGTTGCCATGGCGACAGACTCATCCTCCACTTCAAGACAATTACCGCATTGCAAAAAGGCGTCTTGAGAGTTTGAAAAGGAAACTACAAAGGGATGTTACGCTCTACAGCAGATACAATGATGTGGTGGAGGACTACTTAACACAAGGAATGGCTGAAGATGTCCCTAAGGAGTGTACACCACCACCAAGCAGTCGGATTTACTACTTACCTCACCATGCTGTACTGAGGGAGGATAAGGTGACAACGAAATTGCGAGTTGTCTTTGATGCTTCATCCCACGAAGATGGCAGTCCCTCACTCAATGACTGTCTCTTAACAGGTCCCAATTTGAATCCAGATCTGATGAGTGTTTTGATCAAGTTTAGACTGCATGAAATTGCATACATGGCAGACATTAAGAAGGCATTTTTACAGATTTCACTCTCAGAAGTAGACAGGGACTCTGTAAGATTTCTGTGGTTCACAGGCCCACCAACGGAGGATAATCTGCGTGTCCTCAGGATGACAAGAGTGGTGTTTGGAGCTTCATCCAGCCCATTTTTACTGGCTGCCACCATTAGGAAGCACCTGAGACAATATGAGGGTAAACACCCAGAAGTGATAGACATTGTCCGTTCCTCACTTTATGTGGATGACTTTATCTCAAGTGCAAAGGAGGTGGCAGAAGCTCAGGCAGTGACAACAACAGTCAAAAATATTATGTCTGCGGCAGGCATGGAGCTGTGTAAATGGATGACGAACTCTCCTGAGCTTAGAGAAAAATGGCAGGAGATCTCGTTGGATTGCACTGCACAGCCAGAAACACACGGGTCGGTCCTGAAGGTTCTAGGCCTGGTGTGGAGGCCTGCCACTGATGATTTTGTGTTCGACCTCAGAGGGCTGCTTGACATTCTGAAGGTGAGAGAAAACACTAAAAGAAGTGTTCTGCAGTCCTCCGCTCGCATTTTTGACCCTCTTGGATTCTTGACCCCTTTCACAATCAGGATAAAATGTTTATTCCAAGAGATGTGGGAGAGGGGACTCAGATGGGATGAGGAGCTGCCGCCCGATTTGACTAAGAAGTGGCAACAGTGGTGTTCGGAGCTCCCCCAACTGCACCAGCTGTCAATCCCACGTTGGTATAGAACACACACACAACGGCCAAATGGTCAGGATCTAAAGCTGCATGTGTTTTGTGATGCAAGTGAAAGGGCTTACAGTGCAGTTGCTTATCTTCAGGGAGAAACGAGTGACGGAAAAGTGACCACAAGCCTCGTTGCATCCAAGTCCAGAGTGGCTCCACTGAAAAGAATGACGTTGCCACGGCTGGAGCTGATGGGAGCTGTAATAGCAGCCAGGCTGGGGAGCACCCTCAAGGAAACACTGCGGCTTGACAAGGCCCAGGTGAGACTATGGACAGACTCAATGATAGTGCTACACTGGATTCGCAGTTCTGCTCACAAGTGGAAACAGTTTGTAGCAAATCGAGTGACAGAAATTCAGACTCTAACAGATCCACAGTCATGGTCTCACTGTAAGGGAAAAACAAATCCAGCTGACCTTCCCACTAGAGGTCTAACAGTACAGGACTTGAAGCTGAGCACACTGTGGTGGAATGGTCCTTGTGCTTTGATATCACCTGATCAGTTAGAGAGCAGTCAGGAAGACATTCAGGAAGATGAGGTAAAGTCTGAGCTGAGATCCAAATATCAGCTTGTTGTACAGCTTGTTAATCAAGACACAAACTTCTTAAAACCTCCTTTGTGTCTAGAGAAGTACAGTAGACTGAAAACCGTGCTCCGAGTGACGGCTTGGATGAAAAGGTTTATCGCTAACGCCCGCTCAACTACAAAAATGAGTGGTGAACTGACAGCAGAAGAGCTGCATGAAGCAGGAAAATATTGGATAAAGGTTATTCAGAACCAGAGTTTCAGCTCCGAAATTCAATCGCTCAAAACAGGAAAATGCACACATGCAGACTCCAGAATCCGACAGCTGAAACCCTTTCTGGACCAAGATGAGCTGCTTAGTGTAGGAGGACAGCTCCAGCATTCCGACTTCTCTTACAGAGAAAAGCACCCATGGATTTTGCCCAGCGATCACAGATATACCGAAATGCTGGTACATTATCAACATGAGAAGGTAATGCATGCAGGGGTGCGAGACACTTTAGTGCACACGAGAGAACAGTTTTGGATTTTGAGAGCACGGCAAGTAGTTAAGAAGGTGGTGTCAAGATGTGTATTTTGCAAAAGATTCAAAGCAAAGGCTGGGCAACAGACAACAGCACCGCTGCCCAAGGACAGAATAACTGAGTCACCACCATTTGAGATCACAGGTGTGGACTTCGCAGGGCCACTCTATGTGAAGACACAGAACTCCATGACCAAGGCGTACATAGCGCTGTTCACTTGCGCTGTAACCAGAGCTGTGCATTTAGAACTGGTCTCAGACCTATCAACAGAGAACTTTCTGCTGGCACTGAAAAGGTTTGTCTCAAGAAGAGGATTATGCAAGGTGATCTATTCAGATAATGCCAAAACATTCAAGAGAGCTGATCAGGATCTGAAGGAACTCTGGAAAGGCATCAAAGATCCACAGCTACAAGAATTTTTCTCAGAGAAGGGCATCACCTGGCGGTTCATCGCTGAAAGAGCAGCCTGGTGGGGGGGATTCTGGGAAAGGCTTGTAAGGTCAGTCAAAGTAATTCTTAGGAAGGTGCTTGGCAGAGCTAAACTTGGCTTTGAAGAAGTGTGCACCATTCTAGCTGAAGCTGAAGCCATAATAAACTCGAGGCCACTCACTTACGTGCACAATGACGTGGATGAACCACAGCCGCTGACACCTTCTCACTTCTTGGTGGGTCAGAGACTGACTTGTTTACCCCCAAAGCCATTTCCAGCTGAAACAATCCATCCAACAGCAAATAAGGAGGAGATGACACGGAGGTGGCGCTACAGGCAGAGACTTATGACCAACTTTTGGAACAGATGGCGAAGAGAATATTTACTGGACTTGAAGTCAGCCCATCGCTGCGACTCCCAGCAGCCCTCTCTGCTGAAGGTGGGAGACGTTGTGCTAATCGGAGAGGATAATCTACCAAGACAGAGCTGGAAAATGGGGCGAATTCAAGAACTCTTCCCAGGACGTGATGGTCTTGTCAGGTCATGTGCTGTTCGAACATGTTCAGGCGCCCAATGTTTATTTTCTGATGTAAATAGAGGAACTCATATATTTCCTTTATATTAAAAAGTGAGTCAATTTCTCCATATAAAAATCCTGCTTTAAAACAAAAAGGTTTTGTTGGCAGCAAGAGGCTGGCTCATCTAAAAAACCATCATACCAAGCATGATCAGCCCATTCTTTAGTAAGATATTTATTTAAAAAAAAACACACTCACACACTGAGCAGCCCAAATACATGTGCCTATTATCTTTGTTTTTAAAGCTCCATTAATCTTTTTTTTTAAATTGAACATCATGTATATAACAGTATTGGAGTCTTTAACCAAGATAACGTATTTCTCCAGTATTTACGAGGGCCTCAGAAACCAATCATCACCCCAGGGACCTGAATATTCAAACCATCCCATCTCCTCAGAGATTAGGTCCATAAAAGTATTGCTATTTCTGCCATATCCCCTCTTTGCACCAGGGAAGGGACCCAACTTAAGGGAATTTATAACCCGATAGCCTGATTGAATCCAGAATTATTTGCACAGCTTTAAAGACCTGGACCTAAATAAAAATAAATTAAATCTCCCTAGAGAAATAATTGAGTCTTTTCTTGGTTTAAATGGATGGCTTAATGCCTTTCTTTTTCATTAAAATAGAGTTTATAGAAAATATCTGAATAATTGAACAATCATTGGTGATTTAGCTGTTAATAATATCCTTATATGTGAGCATATATTGTGTTTTAATTTCCTATTTGTTGACAAGGTAGAAAATTCCCAAAGCAGGTTGTGGAGATTATACTGCATTAAGGACATCGGCTAGAAAAGGTGTTAAAGCCTGAATTATCTGTACAGAAACTGAATAAGACACTTTTGACCATTTTGCGGCATTAAAACATGGCATACTCACTGGCTTCATCGGAGTCATAGTCATTGGTCTCCTCCTCCTCATCAGCTGGAGGGGGTTGATGTCGGGGCGGGGGTGCACTATAGGGTGTGGGCTGCCTCCTTTCCTCTCTTACAGCAGGCGCTCCTCTCTGCTCTGAAGCGTAAGCACCTACATCTCCTGCCATAGGACCTACAAATACATTTTGTTAAATGAAACCGAGGCTGAAGCAGATTAGACTTTGATACTCTTAGCTCCAACCAAAAACTTTAGGATCGACCTAAATTAAACTTCAACCCTCTTCTCATCAGCTTTCCTGTGCCTACTGAAGGAAAATAAGCCCCACAGCATGGTGCAGCCACCACCATGTTTAACCCCGGAGTTTTAAGGATTTTTAAGATAAATACTTTTCAACTTCTGTAAAGAAAAGCAATGTGTTTACACCTTTAAGCTTTCTCTTTCAAATTCTCTTCTTAGAAGATATCACTCAGGACAAACTCTTTAAATTACACTTCATAATGTATATGTATTAAATAACCATGAGACATGACAACAGATTTAGACAGAAATTGTAATCTGCTAAGTCCAGAGAAATTGCTTAGGGTTACAGAAGGCAGCGTTTAACAACAGGGCTCGCTTCTTGTTGAAGTCGGCCCCGAATCACAGTTAGAGAAGAATTTTATACAACTCCAGTCTGCCACATCATCACATCATTACATCATACAAGTTTATAAATGATTTTGCACTGCACTGAACCTTTCCATATCAATGCCATTAAAACATGACTTTAAACTGGTTTTCCTTTTCTTCTACACTGTTTACCTTCTGATCACTGCTGCACTTTATAAATGGAAATGTTCATTTCCCTGTTAAGCTGTTCATTCACTGTTTGAAAAGCTTTATGCATAGACATTTTGTTTTGTATACAGTCTGTGTATAGAAAATAAAAAAGAAAGTTTGTCTAAGTCTAAGTCACTATGTTTTTAAATCCATGACATGGCTTTCATTCCATTCCCAAATCTTCTCCTACATAATAAGGATGGCTATTCATCCTGACAGAGGAACTGTCCAAATTAACTAAACTGGTTGGCAATAACATTAGTTAGACAACAACAGGTAGATATAATTAGGGTTTAACAGACTCCCACATCATCAATAAAAAAAAAAATCACTTTCCTCTATTGAGAAATTAACCTTTTCTCACCTTGCTGGGACATGGTAGCTTGAACCGGTTGTGCCCTGGAGCTTTGTACAGGCACCATCTTCTTCATCACCACTGGACTTCCCTGACCTGCCTCTTCGGGGCCGACCCCCCCTGCAGCCATACGCATAGCTGGTTTAGGAGCCACAGGAGGATAAGCAGAACGGGCCTGTGTCTGCGCACCTAAAGGTAAACATAAACTAATGTCACACAGAGACTCCCGAAATGCTGAATCCCCCTAAATGTATTCTGTAAAAGCCTCCTGGAGACATAACACCACAGAGTTTTACTTGCAGATGGGTTGACCTATATATACGACAGTAAGTTGGGTGAGCTATTGCCTTTACAGGCAGCCTACAGGAGTGTTTTTGAGGGGTAAAACAACACAAATCCTACTGAGATGGAAATTTAGCTGTTTGACCCATTAGATCAGCACCACATGGAGGCTTGTTCCAAATCCCAGCATGCAACACCTGACTGGCTAATTGAAGGACTTCATCTCAGTCAGCAGCATCAATAGGTGGCACTGCAACCTTAGGGGAATTACGGAAAAAAAGGTAGGACTATTGGAAATGGATCAGTCATAAAACATGGTGCATTAATATAAAAAACCCCATAAAGAAACCAACAAGCCGTGACAAACCTGTAAAAAATGACACAGCAAGAAACATTGGTCTCTTATAATAAAAAATAAAGCTATATTTTGCCAGTGTGTGTGTTTTCTTTCAGAGTGAATAAGTCCCAACAATGACTCAGCACATGTTTAAATAAAGGTGACAAGCCATGCAGCAACTTTTCTACCATTCTGAGTGAGACCCAGAAAGCATACTTTTAGTTCTCTTTCCAACAGCCGTGTCTAAATGTCGACACAATGCTTAATTTTTAGTGGCCTTGAAGTTTTAACTGCAAATCAGCACATCTGGTTCAGCAAACTGAAAATCTGAAAGTGGTGGCAATTTTTTTTTTCCTTTTATAAATGGGCAACATGGCACACTGCCCAGGGAAGCAAAGCCCAGAGGGCGCCACAAGCATGCTGAGTACGGTAGGTTAAATATGGCCTATATACGTGTTGTTATGTTGGACTGGGATTTGTTTAAGCACTGAGAGGAAATACGTCTTTTTAGAGATCAGGAAGGTTATAAAACTGAACATTTGCTTATCTTTAGACTAACTTATAAGACTTACAAAAGGTCACCTCTCAACTAGATAATTCTACACAGGTAAAACATTCCTTAGAAAAAGTTTGGCAGTTTGATGGGATATGAAGGTAGATTTGTTTCTTTATCATTTAATCAAAAAAAAAAAAGGTTGCTTCAATCACAAAATATATTTTCAATTAAAAAAACCTTCACTTCAATGAACAAAAAAATGTTTCAATCAAAGAAAAAAGTATTTCAATACAAAAATATATTTGAGACTCAAACAAATACATTTGAACACTGCTTTTCTTTGATTGAAAATGTCTGATGGGGAAACGCAGCTCGACGAAACACATTTTAACACTGGCATACAGCTTGTTGGCCAGTGGCGACCATGACTTCTTTGTCAGAAAGATGTCGTTGGTGTAGACACTTGTCAATCAAACATGTCTGACCAATAGAGAAGCACCCGCCCACTGCAAAACGTTTGCGTCAAAACTATTCAATCAAAAAAATTTAAACTTCAAACCTTCTTGCACATAAAAAAATGTGATTCAAATAAATTAATAAATAAATAAATTAATTAAATAAATTCAAATTCAATAAATAAATTGAATTGAACTTCAAATGTTTTTTCTTTGATTTTTTTTTTTTTGATTGAAACAACTTTTTGGGAATTGAATGATTAAGACGCAAATGTCCTACCCATATATGCCCAAACCCAAAATAGATCCCTTCAACCAAAGAGAACATTTTCAACAATAAAAAAAAAGTGTTCAAATGCAATTTTTTGAGTCTCAAATATTTTAATTGCATTAAAAAACTATTTTCTATGATTAAAAATGTTTATCTTTTCATTGAAGTTACTTTTTTATTGATTCTGTTGTTTGTTTGAAGCCACTTCTTTTTTGACACAAATGTCCTACCCATTATATGGTCCAATCAAAAAACAATGTTACTTCAATTTAAAAAGTTGCTTTAATCAATAAAGACTGAACTTCTATCAAATAAAACATGTTCAATCAAAGAAAAGCAGTGTTCAAATGTATTTTTTTGAGTTTCAAATATATTTTTGCATTCAAATACGTTTTTTGTTCATTGAAGTGAAGGTCATTTTTAATTGAAAATATATTTTTTGATTGAAGCAACCTTTTTTTGATTGAATGATAAAGAAACAAATCTACCTTTATAATGGGACAGACAGAGAGATTTTTCAAATATGCAATTAGTGCTAAAACCACCACTGTTTAAAGGAAATAGATGGTTATGATTATTTATGAATATTATCCTCTGGTATACAGCAGTGACGGTGTTATCAGATAAAATCTATAAAATGGATTTCCTTTAAAGAGACTTAGAGACTTTATTTATCCCTTGGGATTACTCCTTTAGAGAAATTCCAGTTCCAGAAACCTATATTGAGTTAATATTAAGAGTTAAAGCAAAATGCCATTAAAGATAAAAACATGACAGAAAATATAAAAAGAGTGTTTATAATATAAAAAAAAGCATAACAGAAAAAAGTTGTAATGTCCTTGAATATGTTTCCCTTAGATATAAAAATATCTGCACAGTAGAGAGCTAAAGGAAGCTACATAGTAGTTGACTTGCATTATTGCACTTGCACCTTGAAATGTCCTGACCATATAAAAGTGAAAATTATACAGGCTACACAGTAGTTGACTTGGATTATTGCACTTGTATTGCTGAGATTTACTGTAAAGGGTTAAAATCTAACACAATATATTCGGTAAGGTGAAACATTAGAAAAGGAGAGGTTTTCAGTCGTTCATTCATTTTTACTGTTTTACACAAGGTTAAAATGAATGAAAACACACATCACCTCATGTTATACCTCATTGTAATCTTTTCCTTAAAAAACCTAGAAGAGTTCATTGAGGACATGGTTTGGTGTTAAGAGAGGAAGAGAAAATATATTTTTTAATAAAAACATTGAAAATGATATTTGTCAGGTGTTAACTTTTTGTCTTTGTTTAAACTTTTTCGGCAAAAATACAAACGATCGAGCAAACAAAGAACAGTGTTCAAACATCTCTACAAACATAAGCCAGGGATCATTGAATCTAACGGATCAATGAAAGCTTTTAAATAAAAAAAAAACTGAATGAAAATGGTTTAAGCATTCTGCTGAAGTAACCAACTTTTAACGTGAGCTTCCAGGACGTTTTGTAAAAATGGAGCTTCTCCTTCAAACAGAAGGAGATTTTCCACAGACTGCTTTGGAAACATGGAGAAGCCTCCTCCTCGCTGTGTGCTGTGATGGGAAGATCAAAATAGGTCCCAGTCAAACCTAAAACAAATGGGTTTATGTGTCTTCTCATATTCAGATGCCAGGGAAACGGAAACTAGTGGATCACTAATAAGAGGTTTGTATCACAATGCCGAATGTTTTCATTTTCTCGCTGTATTGGTTATTTCCATTCACTCCTACACAAAATAAGCAGCTGATCACTCTTAACAATATCTGACTAATTAGTCAATCATTCAGAGCAGACTGAGGCCCTACTGTAGGTGGGGACTTTTAAGGAGGAGGTTTAAGACAGATGGCAACAAGAGATCCGGAAGCAGTGTGAGACATTTATTACGTGATGTTTATAGCCATAACATGTAAGGCTTTTTCAGCAGTGATCCAATAAATTAACTTTACAAAGAAGAGAAAACACTTGCCTGAACTTTGCTCATCAGATGCTGAAGCCTGACTCTGATTGGAAACTAAGAGAAAATTATTGTTAATCATTTGTCATGATTTTTTTTTTAGCAAAGCAATGCCTGAAGACAATTTTACCAGGTGGTTTTGGCTGAGTTGTCGCCTCCCTTGTCACAGAGGCTGTCGGCTTCCGAGGCTCGGCTGCCTCCTTAGGAGCTGTCTCCTTCTGTTTAGACAACGGCATGGGCGACGGGAGGAACTGCTTCGGAAAACCTTTGAAGAACCAGGCACCGGATCTCTTCCACACCTGAGAACAGCTTAGTTGTTAAATCTCAAAGGAAGTGAATGGAAGCATCATAGGATGTTCAAAACTCTGTTTCTTTTTGCTTTTCTCTCACCTCACGCTGTTCTCTGCAGATCTTGCACAGCCACACAGGGTGTGGTCGGCTGCCACACTGTGTGCCACACTTTGTGCACATGTTCTACACAATCCAGGGGAAAAAGTAGATAACAGCCGCTCTGTTTTTAGATAGCTAATACAAATGCATATTTAAAGACTACAAGTTATTGCACTTTCTCATCCAGTTGCTGCCTTTTGTAACTGCTACCTTTTTGCAGTCCTCACAAACGACGGAGCTGACCCCAGGTGAGCCCAGCTGTTCCCCACACAACAAACAGCGAGAAACCCCGTCTCCACACACGGTCTTCTTCATGTCATCCAGGCGGTTTATCAGGTGCCTGCAGCATCACACAGTTAAGTCTTACTCACAAAGCCACTGGTAATTACTGCAGGTAGAAATTATGCAACTCATTTTGCTCAACTTAAAATAAAAAAATGAAATAAAAAAACGAAAATCTTCTTCGAGCGTCTCTCACCCAATTCTCTCCTGCTCCATGGCCTCCATTTTCTCAGCACGGGCAATCACATTGTTTATAATCTTCTTCTCTTCATCTGTTAGGTCTGGACCAGGACCAGAACCAGGCTGCATTGTCCAATTCCCCCTGTTGGTGTAATACAATCCTATATTTACCTTAGTTTAAGATTTTACATCTCAGATCATTCATTTCCAAAGAAATTGAGGGGAAAAAAAGCAATTTTATTATTGCCTTTACTGACTTTTTTCATATAGCTTTAATTTTATTGCATTTATTGAGTGGTTTATATCCCCAATCCTTACTAAATCACTGGTTAACATTAGCTTTTATGTGTCAATGGTAAAACACTCAAACTTCTCCAATAACATTTCAGTTTTGGAAACAGACAGAGGAACATTGACCAATTTCTCAAACTCATTTAAAATTCTCTCTTATCTTTAGCTCACCTCACAGATTTCCTTTATGATGTAGGTGTGAGGAAATAGGCCATGAAAAAGGTTTTTTTTTTTTATAGTAAATTATTCTACTTTCACTTTTTTATATAAATCTTCAACTGGTAAAAATTACAAAACTAACAATACATCAATAGTGTTTATGTATGGTTAGTGGACAGCATCCATCAGGCTGTGAGTTAGGAAGCAGCCATTGCTGTATTTAGAAGCGGTGAAACCTCTGATGTCCAGTGGTGTTTAGGTTTGTCTGCATCAATGACTGAGAAGAACAAAAAGCGTGTTAAAGGTGTCAGGTGTGTGTTCACTGACAGGATGCACCATGGAGGTCCCAGTGGGTTTTCTGAGAGCTGCTGGAGAAGAACCACGCCTACTGCTCCTTAGAGTCACCACCTTACTTAAGGTAGAAAGTGTGCTTTGGGCAGATGAGTAGGTTAGGTAGGTAGTAGGTAATCTTCAACTGGTAAAAATTACAAAACTAACAATACATCAATAGTGTTTATGTATGGTTAGTGGACAGCATCCATCAGGCTGTGAGTTAGGAAGCAGCCATTGCTGTATTTAGAAGCGGTGAAACCTCTGATGTCCAGTGGTGTTTAGGTTTGTCTGCATCAATGACTGAGAAGAACAAAAAGCGTGTTAAAGGTGTCAGGTGTGTGTTCACTGACAGGATGCACCATGGAGGTCCCAGTGGGTTTTCTGAGAGCTGCTGGAGAAGAACCACGCCTACTGCTCCTTAGAGTCACCACCTTACTTAAGGTAGAAAGTGTGCTTTGGGCAGATGAGGCTAATAACAGTGAACATTGGATATATTTCTATTTAATAATTTTGACCTCCATCATCCTATTGACTTTTATTATAGGGATCTCACTATTACTCTATTTTTTTTTTTTTTTTTTTTTTTTTTTTTTACACTTCAAGCTGTTTTAACCTTTTAGTATAGCCCTGACTGTAGGTAATGTTAGGTAGATAATGTTAGGTAGTCAATTTTTTTGTCTTTTGTCTTTGTTTTTTCAGGTTTAGGAGTTTGCCTTGCAATTGGAGGGTTGTCGGTTCAAGCCCAGGCTCCGGCTTTCAATGTCGTTGTGCCCTTGGGCAAGAAACTTCAACTGGATTGCCTACTGATGGTGGTTAGAGGGCCCGGTGGCGCCATTGTATGGCAGCCTCACTTCTGTCAGTGAGCCACAGGGCAGCTGTGGCTACAATGTAACTTGCCACCATTAGTGTGTGGGTGAATGACTGAATGTAGTGTGACTGACTTTAGCGTAAAGCGCTTTGGTCAAGTCTCCTGACTTGAAAAAGCGCTATATAAGCACTATGTAGATAATGTTAGGTATATTATTAATCCATATTTTCCTGGAGATATCTCCTGAATTCTTAATCAGCACACATCTGCTTTAATTGAATGAAACGTTCACTCTGTTCTTTCCCATTTTGCTGCATAAGGAAGAATATTTTTGGGATGCAACAGCAGTATTTTTTATAGGAAAATGACAGATGACAACAAAGAAGTAATATATATTAAAATAAGATAAACTGGAAAAAAAAACTACAATGAAAAATAAAATCAACTAAGACAGTGCCTCTAAATTGAATTACAATAATTTAATCAGCATTAAGGTAAATCAAAGTAAAATCCATTTACTAATTTCACTACATGGAAAACTGAATTTAATGGTTAAAGCAGGCATTTATTTATTTTTAAAGTGTTTTTTGTGGTATTATAAATTAGGTTTGTGTATTTTTTAAAGATTGTCTTTGTGGGTCTGACATCTGGCTCTTTTAGCCAAAGAGTAATGAAATAAAAAGAAAAAAAATCAGATTTATACTCTAAATATTGTTAAAAAACAGTTTTTTTAAGGTGTTTTGAGCTGAAAAATTTGAGCATACACAAACCTGTAGAAACCACTAAAGACTTTCATATTAGAAATGAACTAACTACATGTTAGCTACAACAAAACAAAACGTAATTTATATATATTATACTATATCCAGATTAAAGATTTAAAAGACATAGTGGTAAAGATCAAAAAGTAAAATAAAACTGACAAAAACTTGTGTGTTGAGTGTCTATATATTTGGTGAGAACAAACATATAGACATGCACACACACAGACAGACAGAAATATTTATTTATGTCTTAGTGTAGAGTTTTCCACACCTAATGAAGTTAAATTTGCAATTAAATATTAAAATTATATTTAATATGAGATAGCCAAGCTGCCAGTAAGTATAGTGGATGCTCTCTAACATGAGGCTTTTGAAAAAAGAAAAGGCAAGAAACCTGAGGAAGGCTTTAAAACACAAACAATGGAAGCGTTCAAAGCACAAAAAATGAGCTTGTTGTACTTACTGCTCTTTATCACTGTGCCACAGACCACACGACAGAAAAAGAAGCAGGTGAAACAAAACATGACACCATTAAACATGATGCAGAGACTCCGAGGCGGTACAAAGATAGAAATTCTGCAAAGTAGGATTACCTTGGACGCATGTTCCTCTGCCTGTCGTTGGACACCCAGCGACCTGATCCGCCACTCATCACTGTGTCTGTCATGCTGCTCAATTACAGTCTGATAAGATAATGATAAAACAGAAAAGAAAGAGGTCCGCATTGAGCAGAGGTAATCTCCGTTTGGATCACAAGCAATGGCTTTCCCTGAGTCTGCAGCACTGGCTTAACGATCATCCAAGATTCAGGATAAGCCTTCCTGATGCAACAGTGATGGAGCCATAAAAGATAGCCCATGATTACCACAAGCGACAACTATTAAATTCAACAGAAACAACAACATAACTAAAAGTCAAGTGTCACTTTCAGAAAAAGCCTGCTTACTGTCTATGAATTAGCACTTCAAGAATGAAAGATTTTGCAGCTTTCAGTGGGAGCACATGCTCAGTTCCTCATGCCAAATTCACTGCCTAATTGGTACCATCTCATCCTGCCAAGCCTGTTTGGGCAAATTAATTCCACTGAAACATATGACTTGTGCCAAAACACAGACAAAAAAAACAAATTTAAGGTAGTTATCTTGTGTTTGCTTTCCACAGTGAGGGCTAAGTATGCTTACATCTCCCTGAGTTAGAGGTAGTTGTTCTAATAGAGCATGACCTTGTGTGGATGGTAAGCGATGCATAAGTAACCAAAGAGGAAAAGAGAGTTGAATTTATAAGGCCTGTGAGATAAGGGTGAGCAAATTAGAGAGGTATGGTCAATTAATTCAGCAGCTGGTATTAAAATTCTAAGAATTACTTCCAGTTTGACAGGAAGTAGGGCTATTAGGTTTTATTTTCACAGTTTTAATGGCTTCACAGACTGATGAATATGTTACATTTGTTGACTCCTCAAATTTTGGGGGGGATTTGTTTGTTTTTTAGGGAGACATATAGATCTGGGGTTAAGCATTGGCGCTCAAGGCAGTGGATTTAGTGTAAAAAGGGAAAATATGATGCAGCAGCTGCTGTATGATTTAAACCTCAAGCACAGACTGGACAGAGTGATAATAATTACAATGGGAGACAGTGAGTGCCCAGTGTATTTCATACACCAGCACCGTAATTCAATCTCAAAGCGATGGGGTGAGGATAATATGAAGACGTCAACAGAAAATATGGCGAGTCTGCTGCATGTACACAAGTAGCCCCAGTGAAAGCCTGTCTGAGGTCTCTGCCAGAGAGCGCTCAGCGGGAGGCTGCAGCTGAATTGTGTCCTGAGGGGAAATACTGACACTCAAAGGCCAGCAGACCCCAAACAAGATCAATCTGATGAGATCAAAGCCACTGTTGAGTTTCAGATATAAGGTAGAGTGCTGTTTTTGTCTCAGGGAGGAATGCTTTTCTTGTTGATAGGGATTTTAGGGTGTTCTGAAAAAATTCCCTTTCATGAGGGTATACTGTTAAAAAACTTAGAATTTTATAGGAAACAGATTCTGGATGCGTAGAGCACATAGACACTGGCAGTTTTATTTTCACAGAGACATGCCTTCAATCATACTCCATATGTTTTATAGGATAAGGCTCATTTTCCTGTGGGAACATCCATCTGTGTTCAAGTGTTTAGTCATCCCACTTAAAGCTGTCTAACTTAAATGTAGGGTAATAGGTGAGGATGTCAAAGAGCTACACACAATCCCCCAGGGTTCAAGCTTTTAAGTAATCAGAAGATGCTGTTAGACTGTCGGGTTCATTATTAACAGTTAATTAGAGAGACAAGTTCCTCCTCCAAAAGTGAAACCTTCAAGTCCTACTGAAATCTGTTGCTGCACATATAGACATGCCAAATGTCTTCAGAAAGAAGCTTTTATTCTTAGGCACTAGACAAATATTTAGCCATAAGGCTTCTATCACAAAAAGAATATACTCGAGACAAAGCTTTTAAATAAAAAAACACTTTATCAGCTGTTAAAAGCATGGTGATGGTGGCATCATGGTGAGGGAATTAAAGAAGGATGCTTATCATCAAATTCTTCCCTGCTTCAAATCAACATCTACAGAAGTCTGGACAAAACTCAGCTCTCCGACGAGACAAAAGTGAGAAATATAGAACATTTAGTAACTCCTAAGATGACAGAAAAGTTCCGCTATATTGAACATTTATAGAAACCAATCAAATCTAACAAATGGCACCAATTCCAATAAGTGGTTGAATATTTCTCCAGAATGGTGCCTAAATAGCTTGATGATGACAAAAAAGTGTGTAGTTTCTCTAGAAATGTTAGAGGTTTTCATTTGTGACTTGAGGAACAGTTTGTTTACTTGGAATCAACAATTTGTAGTTGTAAAAGTTAGAAGAACAATCTACCATTATAAAACAAAATTATTTCTCTCTACAACTTCAAATTCACAGTTATGATGCAAAAACATTTAATATTAAAAATTATGCATCTGAATATAAGTAGTAATAGTTTTAGACTACATTTAAGACCCTGAGTATAATTTTAAACTGGTGAGGATTAAAGGGAAATCTGCAAAAAATTAAAAATTTGAATAATATTGGTGAGAATGAAAAAGAAATGTGTTGGGATCTGGAGCTGTACCACCTTCCTCCAGCAGAGTGCGCCGTGGGTCCTCCTGAGCTGAGCCTCCAACACACCTGTGGCGCATCTCATCATCAGAGCCCCAGCACTATATAACCTGCCTTCAGACCTTGCTTCAACGCCGCAGTGTTGATCTAGTTTGGTTAGCAACCTGAGCCTAGTAAACCTGAGAATCTTAGCTCTCTCCTGTTGAGATAAGATTCTAACTCTTCCTTGTTTTTGCCTCACAGGAATCCTGTCTCTCCTTGAAGCTCTGGATGAGCTTAACCTGCCGAGCCTGCCCTCGTGAGCCAAACCTGAAGACTCTTCTCTGGATTCCCCTGCAGCTCTTGGCTAAGAGTTGGAAACTCAAATCAAGGTCTGCCCTCAAAGTCAGAAGTAAGACGCTGAAGCAATTATTGGACTCTGATGAACAAACAGTCTCTGGACCCAACAGTTTCCTCTCTCAAAGAGAAACCCGGACTCCTTCAAGGTATTCCTCAGAAATATCTAAGACTCATAACTCATCAGTCTGTTTGCTAACTGAACTGTCATCCCTGCAGACTCCAGTGAACCTGCCCCCAGACCAGTACCAGCTCCAGTGCAATATTCTTGTGCTTGTGTTTTCAATAAACCTTGTTAAACTTTTCATCCAGCCTCCATGTGTGTTCTGCATATTGGGTTTACTCTGAAACCAATCATGACAAAATGGATATCAGAATATCTAAGCATGACAGAAAATGGATGGATGGATGGATGGATAAGAATATCTGCTTTTACAAGGCAGTCAAACAAAAAACCCTGGAACCTTGGAGATAATACCAAAAGGGAAAAACAAGGGCTGTGCCACTATCTCCATCCTAAAGCTGTCTGTGCCTAGGCAACGTGATGCAAGACAACATACCTTTTTTGACTTTTAATCTGTCATCTGTCAGCCTCTGGGGCCCACAGATAAGCAGCTAATTAGATGTGCTATCAATAGACACTGGGTGGGGGCTTTGCCCTCCAATGCTGCTACTGCTGCTTACAGTAAAACAGGAATTGTCTCTATTTCATTATAGTTTTATTTTCTCTGGTACCCATAGTAAATTTTGTGAATCTTTATTTCTCTTTATATTATGTCTCGTTTTTGTTTCTGTAATGTTCTTTTGTTTCCACTCTGGGCTTGTTTTTCTCAGTCTGCTTTCCTTTCTTCTACTGCCACTTTGTCAAGCTTAGTTTCACTTCCTTTAAACCTTGTTTTTTTTATCAGTCTTCCTCTGAGCCTCAGTCAGCTGTTTATATCCTATTTTCTACTATCTCTGTCTCTCTGTCTTTTTTCTTTTTTTCCCAGCAGTATCTTGACAGATCACACATTTTCTCAACCATACTGTGCTAAAGAGTCTCAAGAGCTGCCTTTCTCCATCGGCCGAAGCTAAATTATTTCACTTTTGTCTAATGTGATTGTCTTGGGGAAAGACAGCAGAATTAATTTGGATTCAGAGTGAACTTAGCTTGAGTTCTCTGGTGGCTCGCTGCAGTTTGAAGTCAGTGAATGCCCTCTGCAGCCCTGTGCAGTTATCAGATGTAATGCTTCAGTTGCAGGAAGGTCCTGCTCAGTTTTTAAGCTAATTATAATAGACTCTGCTGTCATTTTGGACCTCGTTATTCTGCAGGTATGACATCACTGCAGCCCTCAAACTCTGTCTCCTCAGCTACAGAGACCATAAAGGCATCATCTGCGTCATCTCCTAACTTAGTCTCATAGTCATCTTGTATCATGTCTTCTGCTTGTAACAGATGACTCAGTCAGTTGGTGGATTCCTCCCTGGAGAGCAGTTAATATTTTCCTATCTTTATCCTCCTTGTCTTTTTTTTATGACAGTATTTTGGGATCTTTTTAATGATGCTTTCAGAAGTGTTTAAAAGGAGCTACACAACACCTGTGCATAAAACCCAAAGTACACATCAGCAACTGCACATCACAGATAATTTGCGAGACGACAACAGCACAGACCAGATGGACAAAGATGACTAAACACTGTATGTGGATCCATGCAGTAACTGTGGGGACCCATAATCTTGAGGTAGCAAAGCAAAAACAAAAAGGCAAAGCAGAAATCGAAGGGTTGACAGCTCGAGTCCCGGCTTCCAGTGTTGTCGTGTCCTTGGGCAAGACACTCTACCTGCATTGTCTACTGACGGTGGTCACAGGGCCTGGTGGCACCAGTGTACGGCAGCCTCGCTTTGTCAATGAGCCCCAGGGCAGCTGTGGCTACAATTTAGTTTGCCACCATCAGTGTGTGCGTGAATGGGTAAATGGCTGAAAGTAGTTTAAAGCACTTTGGTTAAGTCTCCTGACTTGGAAAAGCGTTATATAAATATATTGTTATTTAACCCATAACAATAATAAATGTTTGATATTCTTGTGGGGTAAAAGCCAAATAATGTTTGATGATGTTTTCACATAACACACATTAACTTATACTGCAAACATCTTAGGTGAATTGCAACATTTTTTATTCTCCTAAAAACTCTTCTTAAAGGTCAGTATGAAGCCACAACAGTGGAACATTTTA